AAAAAAAAAAAAAAAAAAGAGAGAGAGAGAGAGAGAGAGAGAGAGAGAGAGAGAGAGAATAAGGACTCACTGATGATACTTAGACCAAAGGAAATAAAGCCCACTTCTGGTTCTTATTTTCTCAGATTTTGAATATTATCTGATTATCTCTGCTAAAAAAGATCTGAATGTAGTCTTCCCCATGATGCTGGTCAATTTTATTCAAAACCATAGAATATGCTGAAAAATTAATCCTAATAAGATGCTGAAAATTAATCCTAATGTTCTTTTGTTTATGTTCAGTATTAGAGAGAACTAGCTAGAATCAAGAACTCTGATTTGATACAAACATGGCCCTAAGGGTACCAGAGACACACAGCCAGCAATGTACAAGGTTCACCTAATAGTACTATGTTCAGAAAGTAAAGGGAAGTAACAATAATAAATGTTTTCTAACTAGCAAGTCTATACAGCTTATTCAGATTTTATTCTGCAGCTTTCTTCTTGAATACAAAAGATTCCATGGGAAGTTATCCTCTTCTGAGAACATCCCAAGGTGACAGAACAATGATGGAGAGTAGAGAACAGTGACTAATACAGAGATGGCAGCAAGGATGGAAATGACTTATCCAGTAAGTGACCTCATCACATACTACTGTGACAAGCAGATGGAAGCAGATACTCAAAGAAAAAAGCTATTGGTCCAAACTAGACATTAAGCATTCCAGTTCAGTGGCTGATATTATGTGCAGTCAGGTTCATTTATCTGGAAACATTCTAAGCCCACACTTACCAGGGGCTCACACAAATCAAATTAGGACTTGGGAGATTCACAGTAATATCCATTATCTAGTGAGCTGGTGGGAGCCAGCAGTGAAAAGGAATAGGTGTTCACAACATGGCTTTAACCCCAGTCTAGGTGTCTAGATACTGTAAAAATAGCACAAAGAAAAATCAGTAGTCTCTGCACCCTGCAGCCAGCACCCCGGCCCAGGGCCTTGGGGAGAGCCGGCTCCCAGTGTGCCTTGGGACAGGGTGCTGTGGCATGTGGTGCTGGCCTTGCCAGGATGTGCGGGCTGGGCTGTACAGAACCGCGGCAATGTGGTGCAGCAAAAGGCACCTTGGGGTACACTTCGGCTGCTTGTGCAGCAGTGTCTGGGCAGCGCTAGTCCACCTGCCATCAACCTTTCCATGAGACTAAATGAGGAACGGAGTTTCCAAAAAAGTAGCTTTTGACTTTGCTGCCCAGAAGGTAGCTCCAAATATGGTAGAGTGGAACAAGAAGGTACTGTTCTCTACGGCAATGATGCAAAAGGCAGCCTGGCTAGGCTTTGGGAGAGTCTACATTCAAACGGATGTTGGTGGGTCTGGACTATCATGGCTTGATACCTGTCATCTTTGAAGACTTGGCTACAGGCTGTACCATTACCACAGCCTACATAAGCATCCATAACATGTGTGCCTGGATAATTGATTGCTTTGGAACTGAGAAACAGAGGCACAAATTTTGCCCAACACTTTGTACTACGGAGAAGTTTGCCTCTTACTGCATCACTGAACCAGGAAGTGAGAGTGAATATGCATCTCTTTTGACCTCCACTAAACTACAAGGAGATCATTACATCCTCAATGGTCAACAGTTTCAAGGCCTTCATCAGTGGGGGTGGAGAATCAGACATCTATGTGGGCATGTGCCAAACTGGAGGACCAGACCCAAAGGCATCTCCTGCATATTGGTTGAGAAGGGGACCCCTGGCCTCAGCTTTGGCAAGAAGGAGAAAAAGGTGTGATGGAACTCCCAGCCAACCTGTGGCCAACAGAAATGGAAGGCGGATCAATGTTGCTTCCTGTTCCCTGGGGGCTGCTCATACTTCAGTCATCCTCACCCGAGACCATCTCAATGTCCAGAAGCAGTTTGGAGCAACTTTGGGCAGGAGCCAGTACTTGCAATTCCATTTGGCAGATAGGGCAACAAAGCTGGTGGCTTCAAGGTGGATCCATAGATACTGCAGCAGTGGCTCTGCAAGAAGAGCGGGAAGATGCGGTGGTGCTATGCTCCATGGCCAAGTTCTTTGCTGAGGAGTGTTTCACTATCTGCAACCAGGCTGTACAAATGCACAGAGGCTATGGACACCTGAAATATTATGCTGTTCATGCGGGACTCCAGGGTCCACCAAATTCTAGAAG